TCACCACCACCATCACCACCATCACCACCACCATCACCATCACCATCACCATCACCACCATCACCATCACCACCACCATCAACACCAAAATCACCACCAACACCACCATCACCACAAAAATCACCACCACCACTATCACCACCACCATCACCACCACCACCACCATCACCACCACCACCACCATCACCACCAAAATCACCACCACCAACACCACCACCACCACCACCACCATCACCACCATCACCACCACCATCACCACCACCACCACCATCACCACCATCACCATCACCACCATCACCATCACCATCACCACCACCATCACCACCATCACCATCACCATCACCATCACCATCACCACCACCATCACCACCATCACCATCACCATCACCATCACCACCATCACCATCACCATCACCATCACCATCACCATCACCATCACCACCACCACCACCACCACCACCATCACCATCACCATCACCACCACCACCATCACCTCCACCATCACCACCACCACCATCACCACCACCACCACCACCACCATCACCACCACCACCACCATCACCACTACCACCATTGTCACCATCAGGCAAAGAGTGGCTGTCAGGCCGGCATTTGTGGCTTCGTCCCCACAGCCACTGTCCTCTCCCCCGCCTTCTCCCTGGGAAGCCCTGGCTCCACTCCGAGCCTCGGTCACTGCTAAGTCCTGAGCCCCCACGTGTCCCTGGGACGTCCCCTCGGGCTCTGTTCCCCTCACCCACTCGTCACCACCAGTGGTCACCCTTTCTGCTGTGCTTCCTGTGCTCCGGGGCTACAGCCGAGTTTCGTCCTGCTGCCCATCCACTCCGCATGCCCCTCCCGGGTCACTGCACGGCTCCCAGCACAACTGCCTTTGGGCTGAGCCACACGGCCCAGAAGCTTCCGGACTTCTCTGACTGGAAAAGGGGGGTGAGGTGAGGCCGGGCACCGTGACTCACACCTGGAATCCCAGCCACACAGGAGGCAGAGACCAGGAGGATCTCGGTTCCAGCCCAGCCTGGAGGAGAAAGTTCAAGAGACCCCATCTCAACCAATAAAAAGCTGTGCATGGCTGGGCACACCTGTCATCCCAGCCACCTATAAATAGAGGACCGCAGTGCAGGTCAGCCTGGACATAAGGCAAGCATGAGGCCCTGAGTTCAAATCCCAGTACTGCTGGAAAGAGAAAAGAAACAAAATGAACGACCTGTCCCCACGGAGGGGAGCCTGGAGCGGCTTCTGCAGGGGTCTCTGCCCTGCCCCCACGTCATCCCTCTGTCCCTCCCGGTTCCCGGTGGTGACATCATTTCTCCTCTGAGGCCCGTCCCACCCCAGCCCCTTCCCGTCTGTTGGGAGGACCGAGTTTCCTGGACCACACAATGGCCGCTTGTGCTAAGGGACCTCTGGGGACCCTGTCAGTCTTCGGCAGGGACAGGAGCCGGTGCAGTGGGCAGACCTGGAGCCAGGGACTCCGTGTCCACAACGGGGTGGACAACGCCCTCCCCCTGCCCTGCCTGGGGCTCTTAGTGGGGACCATGGAGGACTTTGTGAGCGAGGAGCCTGGCACAGGTGGCGGGGGACCCTGCAGGCCACACAGCGCCTGTCTGTCCCCCAGAGGGAGAGGTGGAAGCTGGAGGGTCCCCCCCAACAAGCCACGTCCTCCTCCACGCCTGTGTCCTGTGTGGCCTCTCCATCCACCCGGCCACATCGGCCAACTTGCCACTCCTGCCCCAGGGCCTTTGCACCTGCTGCTCTGGCCATGGACACAGAGCCGTCCACCCCACTATGTGTCAGTGTTGTTTTCTTGAGATGGGGTCTCACTGTGGAGCCCAGTGCAAACCTCCTGCCTCAGCCTCCTGAGTGCTGGGATTACAGGCGTGACCACCACAGCCCGCTCCGTGTTGGGGGAAGAACCAGGTTTCCGTATTCATCAGTGTTTTGCTAGGAATATGGAAGTGCTCAACTATGTGAAGGATGGGCTTTGAAATTCACACCTGCAATCCCAGTGCTGCAAAAAAGAAAAACAAACAAAGAAAGGGCCATTTGAGGAGGGTTCTGAAGGATGAGTAGGAGTCCACAGGCAAAGTGGACATTAACAGAGGCAGAAAGAGCAGGGGAGTCCAAACGGTCTGGGCTGAAGCGTAGCTCCTCTGAGAGAGGAGAGAGAGAAGAGAGAGAGAGAGAAGGAAAAGTACAGACACGTCTGCTGGGCCTGGAGCAGATGTGGCTGGGTGGGGACAAGGCTGGAGGGTCACTCAGGGCTGACAATCAGCAGGACAGGCCAGCAGGGGCCAGGGAACCAGCCCGGGGGTCACCGCTGGCCCCGTGCATCGGCTGAGTCAGAGCGTCCATCCATGGAGTCACAGCCTCTGTGGCCTCTCAGCTGTCCCCATGTCCCCAGCCGCTCATGGGCCCCCGGACCCCCAGCTGCAAAGCCCAGAGTGACGGTCACTTCCTGTTGGAGCCCAAGCAGCTGTTGGTGCTG